GGCGGTGCAGGGGGGAGGGGGGGGCCTGTTCTACTTTATAGTAAGAAGCTACAGAGTCTGTAAGATGTGTGTGAGGATTCAGGGCCTTCAGCAGAGCGCTCTTTGTTAAAGGGGGAAAATAAAAATGTGACGTGCGACCTAAACTAGTTAGCAATATTTTAAATTAAGCAGAGAGGAAAGGGGAAATGACGTTATTGCCCAGTTCTGGCTCCTGCGTGAACACTTTTCTCCTGATCACATGTGGACCAGAGCGCTGAACGCCCTGGTTCCCTCAGACCTGGCAAACGTCCACCAAAGCTCTGTGTCTCATCATCTGACATCAGTACTTCACCCCAAACACGGCTTTCAAACCTAGATGAGCCACATGTCTCCAGTACAAACCGACTGAATACACACTGATGCATTCGTCTCTTTCATCGTATGTTGCTGTACTAAAAAAAAAAAAAACTCTACATACATACCTCCAGAAATGCAATTCAAAGCCGTCACATTTGTCCTTGCATTTCAAACAGGCTGCTCCAGCTCCAAACTCATGGCCCAGGGTCATCTGTCAACAGAACACACATCATCATCAATCAAGCTAAGTCACACAGACTAATTCATAAAGCTTTTATTAGAGATATTGTCATTTTGGTTTCCTGCAATGTGTCAGTTAAAGTCTTAAAACCCCGGATGTAACAGAGTTATTCTCAGGTGTCTGAACCGTTGGTTTGGGAATTTAAAGTGGGCCAAACCACTGCTTTTGGAAGTCTAAATATTTATAGTTGAAAGAGAGAAAGAGAAAGAGAGAGGGAGAGAGAGAGAGTCCATTTTGGGCTGAAGTCACAGTTTCCACATCTGTATTAGCAGCTGTTGCTGATCAGTGAGTGCACGATGACGACACCACAGAGAAGCAGAACACAGGCTACAAAGTTCAGGTCAGAGGAGTCGTTTTTTTATGACTCATTCGACTTCACAGACAAAATGTAACCAAGTAAAAGTAAATATAACCATTTTAAGGTTTTATGGTATTTTGAGCTAGTTACAACTATACACACTATAAGAAAGAGGCACAGACAAACCACCAAATCCAGGTGGTCAGTGTGAATGGGACTCTGCTTTATTAGAACCTGTAATGGTGGGATAGTAATTTGGTAAAAAATAATTTTACCCATCAATTATCATATTTCCCAGGGATTCAAGTTGTAAATTAGAAGCAAAGTTAAACCTAGCATTTTTACGGTCATAAAAAACCCAAAAGTACCAAACTTAACTAAAGTGTTGTCCAGACCTCAAAATGACTAAAACATACATTATTTCGTTCTTTAATTACTCAAAGAACCGAAATAAATAAATAAAATAAATTATACTTGCCTAAAAACTTTGGGGTTTTGTTTAATTACAGTGCACATTTAAACTTAATCAATGATTATAACCCAGGTGTTGTAAATTACAACCATTTGTGTTACAACAAAGTTGCTGAGAAGAGGAACGGAGCGTTAACTAATGAAACACATCCTGTGCTTTTATTGATATTTAATTTTCACGGACTTTGTCGTTATTTTTTTAAATAATTGACACAGTTCCTCCGGTCTCCACCTGCCTGTGGCTCGGCTCGGAACACCTTTCTCTCAGGGCGTTCCCGGGTCACTTCGAGATAAGGAGCACATACAAAGAAAACTCACCTTCTTCACTTCCTTTTCTATCTCCATTTTTTCTGTGTGTTTTCCAGGAACAGCGGAGGCGAAAGACGGAGTTATTCTCAACAAAACAACAGCCTGAAAGCCCAAATAAATAACACAGGACTGACCGGCTTCTTCTCCACTTTCGCCAAGGTTTTTTTTTTTGCTGGTGCTCCTCAAACAGCACACTGCTGTCAGGTTACAAAGAATTGACAAACAAAACTTCCGGATTTCTTCTAAATAATATTTTGTATTTCAAAACAAACAAATGTCAGCGTGAAAATGCTAATAAAACGATATTTAATATGAAATCACGAATATTTACTTCCAAATGACTAATTATTTTTTTGTACAACATTTTAAGGTGTCAATAAATTTAAATGTTGCCAATTAAGGGTTTTACTTTGAAAGTTCATCCTGACATTCACATTCGGATATGGCCGAATTCCGCTCTGTAGCTTGACGCAGATTTCATCTCTGGATGTCCCGTTTCCTCCTTTGCTGGGTTTCGGAGGAGACGCCCTATTGTGATTGACCTGTATGTAAACCAATAAAAAGAACCGTGGTGACTTGTGTGTCCAATCACAAACAGCAGGGGCGTGTCTGACTGTAACAAAGGCTTCAACAGCACATTTTTTGACAGATTCAACCTGCTATGATATTTGCGACACTTCCGCGGGGTAGTATCTTGTGAAACTTGTCCATTTCTCAATTTGTCCATACAATTAAAATGTAATACATTTTTAAAAATGTGTCCAGAAACGTCTAGAGGAGAAATAATACATAAATCGTACAGAAGTGTTGACGTGCTGTTTCGTGACTTGTCAAACAGTTGCAGCATGTCTTGACACAGGAAACTGTGGTTTAGAACTTCCTCTGTGACCAGTCGAATAATCGGCACTGTCATGTTTTTATGTCTAAAAATGTAGGCATTTATCATCTGTCCTCTCTGAAATGAACATCTGGAGAAGAGTGTTAGAAGAGCATTTCTGGGACTATTTTAAAACTATTTTTGTAAACTCTGAAAACAGCTGTTTCCATCCATGACAGACGCAGCTTTGAAATCCAAAATCAATCTGAAATTTACCAAGTTAAGAGACAAATGTATATTTTGATAATGGAACAGATCTTTCAAATTTAATGTCAA